TCTGTTGCAGCTGCTGCCACAGCTCCTCAGTCTCCTTCACCCTCTGCTCATCCATCCCATTTCCACCTCCACAAGCTGTTCAGGGTCCAGCATTCCCAGTTTGTGGCTCTGCTCAGCTGGAGGGGAGGACACAGAGGCTGGAGAGGTACCTGCTCTCTGGGTCTGGAGCTGCCACCCCAGGCAAGGGACCAGTCAGGTCCCCTCCTGTCCCTGCTGCCTCCTGCTGTGGGATCACAAAGTGAGGAACATCTCCCAAGGTTTATACAGGAGCAGGATCCAGAACTGAGAGATCAGGTGCTCCACAAACACTGATTTGAGAAGCAGATCAGTGAAGGCAACAGGGAAAGTCTTACTCTCTGTAATTTCAAACCCTGCTCCTCTGAGGATCAGGAACATGGGGCTTCCTGCCTTAGGGACCCTGTTCTTCTGCTCCTTTTTAAAAAACTGAACCAGTTCAGTGTGAAAAAATGAACCAGTGCCTGCTCCAGGACCTCACTACCTGTGACAAAGGGACACAAACCATAGAGATGATGCAGCAACAAAGTCACTGATGCAAACAGGTGAAGTTCAACCAGTAACCATGTTGTAGGTGTTTGTAAAGACCAGGTGCCAAAAATACCTCCAAGCTGGAGCTCCTGAGGTGCTCCCAGCTCTCAGTCTTCACTGTGATTCAGGCACAGAACGAAGTGTTCAGCTTTCAAGTCACGTTTCATGAGGGCTTTGCCTTTCTCTGGAGGCACCCAAAGCTCAGTCCTGCCAGCAGCAAAACTGCGTTTCACCACTAGGAAGCGTCCAGCCCAAATCCCGGGGGGGTTTGAGCAGACCCAGAGAAAACTAGAGCCCAGACACGGGAAAAATAACCCTGTCCTGTGGAAAGTGGGGTGGGAAATCGGTTGTGGAGCAGGGAACTGAACCTGTGTGTGGAAACGGGCATCCAAGTCCAGGATTAAAAGAAACAGGGAGGGGAAAAGTGGGGGTAACTTGGTGTGGGAAAGGGTTAAATGCAGGGTCACTGTTACAGCCAAATTTGGCTCTCAACAAAACTACTGGATTAGGTCAATATAGTGGGTGAAAGGGAGGGTTAGAAGCTTGAATCCAAGAGGAATTCCTGCACAGCCACAAGCCTGGTGAGCTTTTCCCCCAGGTCTGTGATGGTTTCTCTGCTGAGCCACCAAAAGCTGCAGCCACAATGTCACAGCATCATTGGATTGTTTAGGTTGGAAAGGACCTTTAGGATCATCAAGTCCAACAGGTAACCTCTCAAACTGCTGAGTCCACCACTGTTGTAGACTCATAAAATGGTTTAGGTTGGAAGGGACCTTAAAGATCACCCAGTCCCACCCCCTGCATGGGCAGGGACACCTCTCACCAGCCCAGGCTGCTCCAAGCCCCATCCAACCTGCCCTTCAACACTGCCAGGGATGGGGCAGCCACAGCTTCCCTGGGCAACCTGGGCCAGGCTCTCACCACCCTCACAGCAAAGAATTTCCTCCTCAGGTCTCACCTCAATCTCCCTCTCCCAGTTTTAATCCATCCCCCCTTATCCTCTTATTCCCTGCCCTTGTCCCAAGTCCCTCCCCAGCTTTCCTGGAGCCCCTTCAGGCACTGCTGCTATGGAAGGCAGAATAAAAATTAAAACAAATAATCCCCTCCATACCTGGGAACTCACTGGGTCTCCTGTTGACCTGCAGGATGTAAACTGATGATGAAACATTTTTTGAAATGTCTCTGCCTGTCCCCAACACTGGGTGTAACATCCCACCCCTCATCCTCCAGCCCAGGAGCAGGTGACCCCAGCAGCAGGACAGAAACCAGCCCCCTTCTACTCCAAGGTGCATCCTCAACCTTCTCTCCAGCTCCTCTGCCCTTACCCACCTCCTGAAGGATAAATCCCGACACTGACCCAAAGCACCTGGGGTTAAACCTGCTTTTAAAAGCAGTTTATTTGGATTTTCCACATCCTTTCATGAATGGCAAATATATTAACAGAAAAGACTTTTGTTGGGTTGTTTGTTTGTTTGTTTTTTCCTCCTAGGACTGTACAATTTTTGAAATAAAGAGTCAGGAAATGAAAAAACAAAACACAAAACCAATAAAGGAAAAAGACAAATTCCATTGTTTCAACATAAACAGGACCCACCACACCCACACTTTGCATTTTCCCATAGTTTAGTTGTAAGAAAATGACCCCAGTTCTTTCCAGGGAACACACAATTTGCTCTGACTTGGCTGTTTCCTACTCCCTTCCCCTCTTCCAGGAGAGCCAACATTTTATTGAAACATTTTATTGATTAAACACTCACTTTATGGAGCTCTTGAGAAGGTCAAGTTGGCAGGATCAGGTTAAATGTTACTTGAGATTCTTGGGAGAAAAGAAAAATCACTTTACGGTAGGATGTAAATATAAATGAGTATTAAATCCCCCAGGGAGTGTGAGGAACTTTGTAACATCCCAGCTGGGTTCTCAACCCAGCTGGAGTCTCTTCCCAGGGTGTTGAAAGTTTTAGGACAATTGTTGGCAAATTTTTGAGAACAAAAAGGGGAAAAAAGCCACTTTATTTCCTGGATCTCTGGTTTCCAGTGGAAGCAGCAGCATTTGTTATGGAAAAGAATTGAGAACAGCACCTGTTTAATCCTGCTTTTTGCTTAGGAAATATGTGGGGAGCCAAAAGGAAGCCAATTAACATGTTAATTGGTGGCATCCAGGTGAACTTGCCTGCAGACCTTGTGCTGAGGTGCTGCTTGGAAGCTCCTCCTTGGGATGTGCTGGGAAGCTGCGAACACTGGGTGGCTGGAGGGGAAAAACGGGCTGGGATGGACAGAGGGAGCTCAGGAGCAACGTGGGGGGGTTTCCAAAATCTGTGGCAGATGCAGATCAGCTCCTGGGAGGAGATTTGAGCCCCGTGGCTTCCTCAGGGAAGACTCACCAGGAAAGGGAAGCACCCCAGAAGATCCATGGCCACAAAAAGCAGTGCCAGGTTGGGTACAAGTCAGTTGAAACGTGATTTTCCAGTCAGTCCATCCGCCTTCCAGACACAAGCTGATCCCAAGGACGTGGCAGAGGCACAAAGCTCCTTCAATTATCATTCCTCAGAGTTTACAAATTGCTTTTCATGCCATTAGGGGACTTCAGGCCTGGTTTTTTTTCCCTGCTTATCCTCCTAACTCTCAAAAGAAAACCCCAAATCAGAGAATTCTATCTTGGCTCAGCACTTGGGGATTATTTTTCAGATGATAAAGGTGTCCATGTGGCTCATGACCAGAGAAGAGCTGTGACAGAAGATGTGCTAGGGTAAGATAAGGATAGAATGTAAAAAAAATCAAGTTCTAAAGGCAAAAGGCCCCTAAAAACCAATATATTAAAAACAAACCACAACCCAAACAACCCCAAACACGAAGACTGTTCACAACAAATATGGTGCTATGAAATTGGTATCATTCCCAATTTATTATGCATCAATTGCTCTTTAAAACTGCTTATACCAGGTACTTTCTTTATTATCACTGCATCAAGGGCACCAATTGTTGCTACAGAGAAAGAGAATTTGGGACTCATTAATGTGAGGAGCTTTCTTCTCACAGAAGCAGCCTCTATAGAAGAGGAAAGTGTTCCTAGAGTGAGAATCTTCAAGAACAGCTTTTTAAAAAAAAAAAAAAACAACAAAAAAATAAACCCAAAAAAACCCCCAAAAGACAGATAATTGCACATTTCTGCATCCTGCTTGGACCACACTTTACAAACCAGTTTCTAAAATGATCCTAATCTGAGAGAATTGATGCGTTTGGACTGTAAGGTTCTGATTGTATTAAGGCTTCCATGGTCTTCCCAGTCTCTCTGCTTAGAAACATGCAGTCACTCTGGAGGAAGGGGTTGATGTTTTCACATGACAGTTGTGGCTACATTTCTCTCTTGATCTGCCCTTTATTCATTTTTATTCTTAAAGAGAGGAAGAACAAAGTCAAAGGGTGTGTGAGGAAAGAAAAACACAACCACCAAAAATGAAGCAAGGTGGTGCTGCCTTGTCTCTTTGACACCCAAAGTAAACACTGACCTTTCAGAGAAGGAGGTGAATAAATTAATTCTGTTAGAAGGTGAAAGCATTGAATGAAAGCTTTGATTCTGCACTGTGATTCTCCTGCCATGTTTCCACCAAGTTTGCATTCTAAGGAGGGACATGGGGCTATGTTGTGTGGTCTGACACACTCCCAGCCCTGTGCACTGTTTGTTCACTGGAGACACTGCAGCTTTAAGGTCACGGACATTCCTGGCATTTAAGTGACACTACAATAGGCCAAAAGTCTTTTGAACAGCCTGCATTTGTCAACACTGTCCTTGAAGAACTTGGAAATGAGGTTCAGCACTCTGCTCACCAAGAAAGAACCAAACTAAGACACATTTCTGGAAAAAAAAAGAACAAGACACTGCTTCATTAGTACCATCCCCACATCTACTGGTGTATCCAGCAAACCACAAGGCTTTTCTTCCATGATATTTTTTTTTTTTTTCAGCCAAGGGGAGTCCAATAGGCCAAAAGTCTTTTGAACAGCCTGCATTTGTCAACACTGTCCTTGAAGAACTTGGAAATGAGGTTCAGCACTCTGCTCACCAAGAAAGAACCAAACTAAGACACATTTCTGGAAAAAAAAAGAACAAGACACTGCTTCATTAGTACCATCCCCACATCTACTGGTGTATCCAGCAAACCACAAGGCTTTTCTTCCATGATATTTTTTTTTTTTTTCCAGCCAAGGGGAGTCCAAAAACAGCATTTCCTCCTCAGTCATGTTCATTAATGTGTAAGAGCCAATGAGTCAGACTCAGTAGCAGCTGAATATTGCACTGCCATTAACTCTGTGTCCAGTCTGAGTGGGACACTCAAGGTGTCAGTGGAGAGTAATGACAATGCTGGCTCAGTGATGTGAAGACCCAGGATGAGAAGGGAGGGGAGAACACAACAGGACCAGTCACACACTCAAGCTCAGATTCTGGCTTCTAGAGGTTAAAATTCATCACTTTCCACTGCGTGGAGCTGCGTGTCATCTGCATCAGTCATGCTGCTCTCCTGGGACTCATCTGTGCCAACTGGAAAGAGAAAGAAACACAAAGTGGTCAAACACTCCTGGGCTGCTTCAGGGCAAAGATTCCCCCACAAACAGCACTGAGGGGTTTGGGTTTCTCCTTGTCCTGGTTTCATCCTGGCTCAAACCAGGACACTCCTCAAAGTGCTTTAAAGCCATGGGGGCTTTCCCTTTTTCCTTCTCATACACTGATTCCTGCCAGCCTAATGAAATCCAAAGAAATGTCCTTGGGAAGGAATTAACCTGCAGTACAAACTGATAAAGATGCCACCTTAGCCCTCCTCTGCTAAAAAGCTGCAATCTTGGACACCCAGCTAGGGATTGAAAATGGAAGGAGCCAAAACTGCCTTGGGAATGATTCAACCTTCCCACTCCTTCAAACATCCCAACTATCACACTAATTATCTAATCTGACCACACCATTTATAACCAGCCTCTGCTTGTCCCCTTCTTCCCTGACAAAGAACTGAGTCAGACACATGGCAAGAAAAGTGCTTTGCAGATGTTTCTGATGCTGCAGAATTCCCCTGGGCACTCAGCTCAGAGGACGGCCAGCCCAGAGCTTCCAGGAACACAGGATTTCTACTGGTTTTTTATTAAAGGCAGGATAAACATGGATCTACTGAGAAGAGACCCTTCAATATTTAATTTCTGTACTTGTTAAAATTACAACTAAGGTAAATATCTAATGGTGGTTGGTTCTTCACACACAGGAATGAACTTGAGTCTGCTTCCCATAGGGCAGTTTAGCATATTGTCAATTCTCAAAGTTGCTCCCTGGAGAAACACAGATGCCTTTTATTGCTTGAATACAAACATTTCACAGGTTTCTGTGCAATGGACATGAGGCTTTATTGCCCAGAAGGGCTCACACTAGCCCATAACTTCATGCCCCTTACCCCAAGTAGTGCCTGAATTGACCTTTTCTCATGGATTGTAGAAGTTATTTAGCTGAGACTGTGAAACTCTTGTATATGTTCTCTGCAGAGCCAGGGAAACTGCTTCCACACAGCTTGACACTACTTTAGTTTATGTTTATTTGTAATACTGAGTTTTGGGTGTGGGGGGGTTTATTTCTTTATTTTATTTTTAACTGCTTCGGTGTTGCTGAGAAGTTCCAGAACTCTGTCTCCATCTTCTGGTGAGAAACGTGCTCAGCCCCCAGTGAGACTGGTCTAAATTGAGCCCAAATTCAAAAGCACAGGGAAAAAAACACCAAAACCACCTGATCCTTCAGGAAGTGCAGGATCAATCTCCAGTATCCCAAAGCACACTGTGAACAAGATCAGTAATTATCAACATGATACACAGGGGGAAAATGTGACAGCTGGAGATTTAGGATTGCAGATCACAACATACATCTAATAAGAATCCCAAACCTGCTCTCTTTTCTTTCTTTGAAGGAACAGAATTGCCTGTTACAAACTGAAATAGTGACAGAAAATAAATAGTATCAAAGTGATCAATATTTATGACTGTTCCTCACAGAGCTACCCCTGCTTCATGGAGTTTTAGCTCAGAACAAAAAGTTGAGAGAAAACTGAAACCCAAGCCATTTTTGTGAATTATTCCCAAATATAACCAGGAGTGTTTTATTTTCTCTGGATTCAAATCAAACTGCTTCCATGACCTTCACTAAAAGTTACCTTGTAGGTTTAGCAGATGAAATATTTTATTTTTACCCAATATCTTGTTTAACTTTTGACAGTTGCCATTCAGGTATCTTGGAATGATGTGATGCTTCTGTGAGGGAAGATTTGCAGCTCTGGGAACATCTTGCTGTCCTGGGAGACTATTGGCCAACCATGGTTGGTAGGAATTTACAGTAGTCATTATTTCTGTCCTACTCCATCTATAGATTCTAAACGAATGTCATGATCCTTTATTTCATGCTCACTGGAGGAAGCACCAGTGAATTCTTCTCACTGAAGAGCCCCTGGAGTTGCTGAGGTGGAGCAGGGAGTTCCCCTCACGAAATCTGGGATTCTTCCCACCACCTAAGTGGAAGTGTCTCCTTGAATGACAAAGGGTTGGAAATACAAACCTGATTCATAGGGGTAACATTCACTGATTTGCTCTTCTTGAGTGATTGGCTCCTCATCATCTGGAAGGTAACGTTTATCAATGGCCTCTTTGATCTGGTTATTGGCTCCTTTGGGATCTAAGTCCATTGCCCATGAGAAATTCATTAGGGCCAAATGTGTCTGACCCAGTTTTTTATAAACCTAAAATAAAAGCATAAAAGGCTACATTTACATGAAGTTGTTACTTGAAAGTTTGGATAACAAACATACCAAACCAGAGTGAACTGATCTCTGATAAAAAACAGAGGGCAGGTAGGAAAGATTCCTTATACAAGCCCCAAGGGGAACAGAAAATAAGTGTAGAAAGAGTGAGCAAGTGTTTCTATTTCCAACTCAGGGAGATGAAAATGAAACCAGCAGCTGACAGATTCAAATCAGAAGGAGGTGGACCTTCTTTATGGATATAAATATAAGCAGGGGGGTGTAACAGCTATTGGTGTGCATGTCTGGTTTCAGCTTCCCCACTCCTTTAATTCCTTGAGTCACTGTCACCCCAAATCTACCCAGCAATTAATTTATTTCTGTTAAATGCTTTCACAATTTAAATACTTAAGTTTGTCCAGACATGGCAACTCCAACACCAATTTAAGGTCCAGCTGCTCCTGGACAAACATCAGCCAAAAAAATTCAGCACAAATCCTTTTATCTCTTGCCATCCCTGGGGCTTGGAGCAAACTGGGCTGGTGGGAGGTGTCCCTGCCCATGCAGGGGGTGGGACTGGACGAGCTTTAAGGTCCCTTCAACCCAAACCATTCCATGATTCTATGATTTTAAGGATCTCCATCAATCACATCACTGCCATGGTACCTATCATTCTATTGAATGAAGTCTTAATACAAGTGCATTGTCAGAGAAAGATCTGTGTGCACAACCCCTCTCTCTCAGTGAAGTATCTTTATCAGGATCCATTTCTTTATAAAATTAATTACCTTTCAGGTTTCAGTGGTGAAACCAAAGCAGGCAAAGACTAACACTGGCTTGGGTTGTTTTTACTTTGGGCTGTTTAAAAGGGAGCTGAAGGCTTCTCCAGTAATAACTGTCTCTTGCATTTAAAAGCTGATAGATGATAAAGCTGTGGGCAGGAAATCTTATTTAAAGCTTTGGGAATTTTTAGAATAGTGCTCCAAGTGGAAGCAGCCTGGTGACAGAGATCAACTTTGCTCATTAGGCCTAAGTTTCTGCAGCAAAGGACTTAGGTTTTACCTACCTTTCCTATTAAAAAGTAAACAAGAGACTCTTTGGGAACAATCTGTTTCAGTTCTTCAAGTTCTTGTAAAGCAGACTGAAGAGGAAGGAAAAAAAAAAAGAGGTCAGTACAAGCTGACAGTCTGCAACCTGCCAGTCAGAACATCATTCAACTGTGATTTAGCACTAATGTAAACCAAAAAAAATCCCAATTCTGTCATTTACATACAGCATAGTCCACCAAGAACTAGCACCATCTCATGAGAAGCTTCTAGAATTCCTTGTATTAGTTTCTCAGTTAAAAGACTGGAGCTTATTATAACCCCACAGGTACAGACACAGAGCAAGTTTATTTGGCTTTGCTCTCCCATCTCACAACTCTGACATGAAATGCCCCAACAAGGCACAACAGGGTAGAAGACAAGAAGGTGACAGTGTTTTTACCTTCAGCCCTTTCTTCAACACCCTCACTTTCTGAAAAAGGAAGAACACTGGTGTGTTTTGTGCTGATGTCCTGCCCTCAAATCTGTGCTTTTGAGAGGTTCTGGTCTCAGACAAATGTCTGTGGACTTTTCCAAGTGATGACTATGGATATATTGGACATTTGAAGCCCAAAATGTTTAGTCCAACTTCTGCTTTAAACTAATTCTTGACTCTCAATTTATGGTTGTCTATAGGTACCAAATCTTACCTTGTATTTTTCATTTGCAAACAATACAGAAGCTCTATGGAATTTGCATAGTGGGTTCTTGGGGTCAATGTTAATAGCTTTGTTTAAAGTATCCAAAGCCTTTTCTGATTTTTTCAGTGCATGCTGGACCTGTTGCAGAAAGAGAACAATTTCAAAAAGGGAAAATAACAGCTCATCTGCCAGACAAACACAAATCCATTTGGTTACATTCACACAATCTGTTCCTTTAAAATAAAAATATTTAGCCAATTCTAGATCAAGTGTTACCAGGCTTTTTCTTACAGGAAGAAAACTTCCCCTCAGAAGGTTCTCCCCACCTTACAGAAATCATTTCACCTTTGGCCAGGAGTGAACTCCACACCCTTCTCAGCATGGAAGTGAGAAGCAGCCACTATCCCCGTGGAATCTGACACAGCTTTGCTGCCACAGAGAAGGGGAATGAATTCCAGCAGGTGACCACCCATCCCACTGCCACAGCCTGAGGTCTCCTGCACAAAGACCCAAGAACTGCTTCCCAACTTGGCAAGCAACTACTGGCTTGAGTGAGGCTGCTGCTTTCTCAGGAATGCAGGTGGATAAAGGACCAAGATTCTCTATTAGCTTTGTAAATGTAATGAAGCAGATGCTGGCTGAAGTGACTGCCTGCTGCTTAACCTCCACTTGGCATCAAGAGGCTTCAGTTGTCACACCTACAAGTGCCTGGAAGGAGGGCAATGTGGGCAGAGAGCCAGAGCAAAGCTGTACACAACTGAAGTGCTGCTCCAAGTGCATTCAACAGCAGCTTCATTTCTCTTGTATCAAGTATTAATAAACCCTATAAATACTCTGTTCACATTTGCTTCACACCATCTTGATCTCCAGATCACTCCTATTTTGCCTGACCCAACCACCATGACCCCATAGTATCATTTCAGTACTGACTAAAAGTAGTTTAGAAAGAGAAGGGTTTATTTTCTGACACATTAATACTTTGGTTATTAGTTCACTTCCAATTCCTTGAAATTCCCTGGGATTTTTTGTTTAAAAAAAAAATTAAAAAGTTCAGCATTCTTTTTCTACTGCAAAAGAACAGAAGCAGATTCAAACACACCAAGGACAGAGTGAAGTGCAATCTACTTACAACTCCAATGTGACACAGTAAGACTGAGCTCTGAGGATTGATATCAAGTGCTTTCTGGAAATGCATTTCTGCTAGACTGAATTTTTCCTGTTTGTAATAAATCATTCCCAGCCCATACCTGCAAGCAGAAAAACAATTCTGTTCATTAAGACTCTATTCTAAATCAAACTGACTTTCCTGAGTGAGTATGACCTGGCAGAAATGGTCTAGGGTCTTGTCAATCCCATCCAGGGTGGAAAATGATGTCTTGTGGGGAAAAAGCTATGTCTAAAATAGTATCTTTTTGTTCAATTGAGTAGTGTGAAGAATTGACACCTGATACACAGGAAGACTGGCTAAAAGAGCTACAAATAAGAAGCAAAATGTTTCTCAAGGTGAAGTGACTTCACTAGCAGATCTAACTTGTACTACTTTAGATATTTTGTCCACAGAAAAAGCTGTAAGAAACTGTCTCTATCTTAGGGTATCGAGGGGCAGATCTCATCTGTCCAGCTGCAACTGAAGATCACTTAAGACACGAGGAGTGGTGCAAAGAGGAACAAAACAACTGGGGTAACAGAGCCAAGATCTGTGGAAACCAAAAAAGCTCCCATTTTTTGTGCTCCTTGTGGAATTAAATGTTTATGAAATAGATGAAGCCAACATGTTTTGCAGAAACAGCTCTGCTCCCTCCTTGCAGTGGTAGGGAAGCAACAGCAGTGACAGCACCTGGAAGATGTTCTCTCCAAGAGAAGTTCTGGATCACATGCAATAGGAGAGGGGAAAACAGAAACACCTACCATGCATTGTAGTGTCTAGGGTTGACTCTGATGGCATTTCTGAAACAAGCTAATGCTTTGTCCAGTTCTTCTGTCAGCACAAACTCATGTCCCAGCAGGGTGTAGGCATAAGCATAGTTTGGATCAACTTGGATGGCTCTCTGGAAGAACTTGATGGCAATGTCATGCTCTCGCTGCAGGCTGAAGCAGTTGCCAGCAGCACACCAAGCCTAGGAAAACCAGCAGAGCCAAATGAACAAGCTTCTTACAACTCAGATCAACTCAGTTTGAGCTGAACTGATTTTTTTCCCCCATGCTCATTTGCAGAATTATACATAAACTTCCCCCTCAATTTGATAATAATGATGGTAACAATAACAACAACAATAAAACCAGTTGGTTAAGTCTCATTCCTGAGAGGCAGAAAGGCCTAAATACACTTTAAGAGCCAGACAAGCTGAAGTAGAGAAATCAAGAATCTAAGGACACCCAAAAATTTGTGCAAATGAGGTACTTTGATGACTAATGACTAAAGCTTTTGAAGCTGTTGAAAAAGATAGAAATAAAAACATCTTGGCTATTTCAGAATCCTGAAGGGGGAGAGGATACATTCACTTTCACTCTTCAGCTCCCTCCAGCTGGCAAATTTGGAAACCTGCAGAGTGACAATTTTAGCAGCAGCCTCCTCTTTCCTTCCTGCTTAGATTGTACAGCATCCCAGCCCAGGCTCCTTTGCTTTCCTAAATTTTCAGCATCACTTCCAAATCATTTGACTGTTCTCCACTCCCTGTATTAGAATCTGTACTTTTTTCTCTCCAGCCTTCCTCTCTGCAACTACCAATTGCTTCATTGGTTTGGACTTCCCCACTATAAGAAAAGGCAGTAAGACAACATGAACAGGATTCTCTCCTCCAATTAAAAAACACAATGTAATTGACAGTTTCCTTAACTCTGTTAAGAAGACATTAATAAACTCACACATCTATTACTTTTACTTTTACAAGATGTCTGGCTTTTGCATGTCATGACTTTGTTACCCTACACTCTGCACTTTAATGGACTTGGTGAAATGTTCTGTTGGAAAACAAAAACTAGAGCAAAAATGTTCTAAATGCCGGTGAATTAACTTGCAGCAATTAAAAGGTGGTACAGGAAAAATATATTCTTATCTCCACACACTGGCAGTAGTAGGAGGGACTGACTAACCCATGATCTTCCTGGATGGATGGTGCCAATACAAATGTAAATAATCATTAAGAGATAAGGGGTTTCATCCTGTTCCATTTAAGCTGATATTCTAATTTTAAGAAGCCCTTTCAGGCATCATCAGTTCAACAGACAATCCTGCCACCCCTCTCTCCAGTTCTGTCCTGTAGTTCCCACAGGAGAATACACCTGAGCCAGATGAGGTTTCAGAGCTTTGCTCCAAATCCTTGATTTTGCCACCTACAGTTTCCCATCTCAGTGACCACCACAGCATGTTATACCTCTGGTGAGTTTTTATCCATGTCTGTCAAATCCTTTGAAAGAACTGAGAGTGCAACATCTTTCTGCAGATGCCACAGAGTAGTTGAGTAGATCTCCATGCCTTCCACTCTGTAGTTCTCAATCCTCCTTACTTCTGAAAATATTCTCTCAGCCTAAGAACAGAAATTAAAATTAAAATTCCACCCACCAAAGCAGAGCACACAGGTCAAGGTTAGACCCTTGTGGCCAAGAAGGCCAATGCCATCCTGGGGGCATCAGGAAGAGTGTGGGCAGCAGGTCAGGGAGGTTCTCCTGCCCCTCTGCTCTGCCCTGGGGAGGCCCCATCTGGAGAACTGGGCCCAGGTCTGGGCTGCCTAGTCCCAGAAGGACAAGGAGCTGCTGGAGCATCTGCCTGTGAGGAAAGGCTGGGAGACCTAGGGCTGTTGAGCCTGGAGAGGAGGAGGCTGAGGGGGGATCTGATCAGTGCTGATCAGTATCTGCAGGGGGTGTCAGGAGGATGGGCCAGACTCTTCCCAGTGGTGCCCAGTGGCAAGGGGTAATGCTGGATCACCCTCCACCACTCCCAGTTTGACACCACCCCGGGTGTGCCAGTGCTGCCTCCTGAGGCTGCAAAGCCAATGAGCTCATGGATGTGATCTACATTAACTAACAAGGCAGAGTAGAACTCCAGTTGTTTCACTGATCTGATTTATAACATTGCAGAAAAATTCCATCAGCACAGCTGGGGGTAAAGGTGGGGAGAGAGAAGGAGACCCCAACAGTTAGATGCAAAAGGAAACAACACTAAGAGCAATTTAAGTGCAACTCAGTCTCCCCAGGGAAGCTCAATGACTCTTGATGTAGATTAAATATTTCTATCCATCCCAGCCATAACTTCTACATTTATCCATTTATCCCAACTGTAAACTTCCCATAGTTGTTGCAGGAAGTTCTGCAAGTTTGGGGCAAACTATTTCAAAGTGAAAAGCATAAGAACCAACCCAGGCCCAGTTCTTACCTGCATGTATTCTGCAAGTTCAAAGTAAGCTCTCCCAATTTGGCACAGCACCCAGCCAGTGTTGTAGTGGTGGGATGGTAAATGGCTCAAAATATTGATTGCTTCTTTGCAGTTGTAGGAACACAAGGCTAAATAACCTTTCCCCATGTCACGGAGAAGACTCATCAAACCTTCTAGGAGAAAAATACAATAAATAAAAAGTGGGGAAAAAAATCCAAACAAACAAACAAACGACAGCTGAGATTTAAACTGCTAATCCCAACAGTTCTTCCTTTTAGGAGGCACTGCCCCTGAATTAATGGATGAAATTCTTTCAGGAGTGTAAAAGCTTGTGTTTGGAAACTCCTAAAGGAATATTCCATGACAAAGGTTGATGTTTAAAAGTCTGATAGTAACAACTTCTTCAGTCAACAGCAGAGAAACTCTGCAGTTCAGGGCAACTGGACTTTTGCATTTACAGCAGCTATTCAAACATTGTTAGGCCTGAACACAGTTTCCACATGTCTGGTATCCATGGATACACCTTCTTGCTGCCTGGAAACATCACTGAGCCAAAAGAGAGGAATTCAGCAGTTTGTCTAGGATTTTCTGACCATTTGAATAAAGACTCAAAATGGGAAACATGAAAGGAGAACAGACTTCATAAACCAAATTTGGAGGGAAGATGACTGGGTTACTCGTAGCTCCTTTGAATCCGTTTCCAAGGATCTTGCCTGAAGAGATTTTAATCATTAATAAAGACCAGAGAAGATAAATCTTCTTAGAACCAGTCACTTTCTACTACTTCTTCACAGGTTCTTTTTAAGTTAAGTAGAATAAACTGAATTAAATGTCCTTATAATTATACAAAGGTGGTAACTACAGGCTAAGTGACACAAAGAAAGAACAGTGGAAAAACCCCTTGTTTTCATTCCTTAACACAGATATACATGAAATTTTACTCTCCTACAGTCCAAGAGTGTTCAAACAGACCTGCTGCTGCCTTCTGTAGAGTAAAAGCCTGGATCTGTGGTGTGACAGTGGAAATTTTCCCTTCTGAAATGATCGAAGAGTCCAGTTTGGTGATTTCCAAACTGTCATTTAAGTTGGGTTGAGTTATTCCTCCCTTATTTGTTTTACTTTTTGTTTTTCTGTTGGGAATCTTAGGTGGAAACTTCATTTTTAATTTTTTGCTGTTTTCCTGCAAGTAAGAAGAGCAAGAGTTACACATTAAAAAAAGGCTTTGAATTCAGGTAACTAAACTGGAAAGTGTAAAAGTTAAATTTATGCCTCTCTGTAACCTTACCAATGATGCCCAGCAGACTGACTTTTAAACTTAATTATACAGTAATTTCATTGAATATGTTTAGTAGTTAATTTTTAAACAAAGGGTTGGGTTTTTTTGTTCATGAAACACCTTTTTGTTCATGATCCTCTTCTTTCTACTATTTTAGCTGAGGACTCAAGAATTTAAAACCAACATTCTGGCATCACGATGCGTTTTGTACAACCAGATGTTTCTGCTCATGCAGAACCTGTTCTGAAGCTGCTAGAAATGCCACGTAAATGGGGAAATGAGCAGCAGCATGGGTAAGGAACCCCCAGGTTTGCCCAACCCATGGAGTTTGTTACCTTTGTTGTGGAGCTATCACTAGTAAACAGGCGAGAGCTTCTTCGAGGCAGCGCGTTTGGTGGAGCAGCAATTGTTGGGCTCAATACCTGAGGTGTTGTACTGAAAACAAAACAGCACACTCAAAACACAAATTCTTCACTCTCTTTTTAATAGCTTTTAGCTTTTTTATTTATAGCTTTTATCTTTGTTTTAAACACACATGCTGGACACATTACTACATACATTACTACAGCACAGCTATTCGCATGTCAAGAGATGAAGAAATCTCCCTGTTGCAAGTTAAGGATGTGGCAGAATTTCTTCCCAGCTCCTTCTTAATTTATTGATGAAATGGTGTAGCTGCAAAGGAGAGCTAAAACAGAGTCCACCCACCATGCATGAGCTTCCTACTTAGCCACTGAAGTTATTTTACCGAATAAAACCCACACTTCTTCCTCTTCCCAAGAGGAATTCTGCAGGAACATCCACACAGGATGGGCAGAGAGAGTCAAATCCCTTCAAGAACAGAGATGCAAAAGGTAATACAAAGATAACTTGGGGTTTTTTTTGTCCCTACCTTGTCTGTGGGCCAGAGCTCTGTGTTTGTGCAACAAGAACAGGAGTGACTTCCCGGCTGTTTCCACTCTGGGAGAAGACAGATTTTGTCCCAGCTTGGCTTATCCTGCTGACAGTCTGCACAACACAAAGTTTCTACAGGTTTGTTATTATGCCACTAAAAAGTCTCAACCTCTGCTCTATCAAACCAAATCCACTCTTTTCAAACACTACACAGATGAGGACAGACAGACTCTTTCAATAAAGGGCAAAGGTTCCTCCCACCCCAAGGAGCACATCTCAAAAGCACTGCTTGTTCTACCTGTTAAAATACCAATCACACCAAGTTTACCAACTCGATGCAGATGATTTGAAAGATACAAAATCTCCATCTAGTGGCAAGAAACTGTATCTTAAGGGGTTCCTGAATCACGACATTACAATCACACCCAGAAACCATGCAGCCACCTCAGGGAGCTGCACAACATCTGAGCCTGCTGCTCAGGTTCAGCACTGCTGTCCAGGGCATAAATCAGTATTTCACAAATTAAATTAGTACTTCACAAATTAAATCATTGCTGCATAAGCCTTTGGAACAGACAGAAAAAATCTGCTTCATCCAAAAGGGGCCTGCATTCTGCAGTTAAGAGAGTCAGGTTTGTTCAGAGCAGT